TAAGTTAAGAAGAGGTAGAAAAGGTAAGTAAATATATTTATTAAAAAAATAATAAAAAAAAAAAATAAAAAACCTACCTATGCCATTTCACAAACCCAAGAGCACAATCCTAAGGAAAGGTAAGTTAAGAAGAGGTAGAAAGGTAAGTTAAAGAGATGTAAAAGGGTAAATTAAGAGGTAGTGAATTATTTTATTAAAAAATAATACAGTCAGGAGTTTTACCAAATTTGAATGTTGATTCTAGAATGATCTGTGGAAAATTCTTGAAACTTAATTGGTTCCCGCTTATTTTTTTAAATTTAAAAAATTTAGATTCTAAGTCAAATTCAAAAACTATATGAATATTTAGTAAAAGACATCTAGTTTTTATAATCACAAATAATCCCAAGTAATCCTGTCTTGTTAAAGTTCCTTAAAAAAGTAAATGAATAGACCTTAAAATTTGAAATCTTGATAAAATGAATTATAAACATTAAAAAAAGATATTTTTTAATAACCTTTTAGTGTCTACCTATTTGAAACCAAGAGCAAAAGACCTTCCATACCTCTTTGCAGAGCTAATTGAGAAATACAATAAAGTTGGATTAAAATCATGTGAAATAAAGGAATCACAAAAATGATGAAATGCTAGTAATCCGGAAACAGCTAAACGACTTACAATTTATTACTATTATTTTTTCGAATTTTCTAACCTTCATTCTTCTTTAAAATCTTATTCAATTTGCGAAAGACACTATAATCAAATCATTGTTACTAACTAATTTTACCAATATCTTACAAGTTCTATACAAGAAAATAAAAGATTCCGGCTCAATACTAAAGAAGAAAATATAATTACTCCTGTCAATTATTCTGATTTAGTTATTGAACTTGTTAATACTAAAAGACTTTTAGAACTTAATCAATTGGAAATTCAACAAAAATCACAATCAATAACAGACCTAAACAATCAAATCATACAAATGTAATGTCAATTAGAAGATCAAAGAACTGAAATAGAAAAATTAAAAAAACAATTACAAAAGGCTTACGAAGATATAGCTAAAATTCATGATCTATATAATGAACAACATAAAAAGAACGAAATTCTTATTAGACAGCAAAATTCACAGTTCATTAATCAGCAAGAATGCATCAAGGCAATTATTAAAATAGCAAATGCAAAACGTGAATCATTATTCAATGACATAGAATCATTGATCAGAGATAATAATAAGTTTTCAATCGAGAGTCTTATTACATATACCTCACGAGAATGGTTCAATAAACGAAATCAGGTTGCCATTAAATTTATTGAAACACTCGTTCATAACAATCAAGATAATACTTTAAGCCAGGAAAAGATTTTTAAAACTGCAGTTGCGATCGATACAATATATGGAGCACGACATGGAAAATATGTATCAGAGATTCAGCTTGTAGCCTTGGCCATCAAATATTCAATTGCACGATCAAAGATGATAATTAATATTGACAATCATATTACAAGTTCGGGAAGTTATTATCGGTTCCAAAAATGGTTAGAAGAGTTGTCAGAGAATGAAGAATCATTACCCGAAGGCCTTTTATTTCTTACTTTTGATAATGAACAAAGAGGACAAAAAAATTATTTGATCGAGGATCTAATATAGTTATTTTTCATATCATTACCAGTTTTGTTGCTTTTAATATGATATCACAAAATAAGATTCAACATACTAATTCACCCTGGATATTTAATTCTCTCAATAGGTTACAATATGAAGAACTTTTCGAAATCAATCTCCAGATGCAGGATGTTCTTGATAGAGAATTATATAGTTTTTTATCTGAAATTTTTAATTTATTGTCTGAAGAAAAATCATCTGTTATTAATACTATTGACTCTTTAATAGCATCTGCAGAAACCAATATTACCAGTATGAAACAGTGTCTTAATTGCCATCAAAAAAATATCGAGAATCGAAAACAGACATGTCCAAAATGCAAAATATGGTTGCTTACATTAGCAGAAATTCAAAAAGAAAAATTAATTAATATTGAGGATGAAACTGTTGATCGCTCAATGATGCCACTTATATTTAAACCTTGTAACTTTAATCAGGAATCAAGTGTTATGCCCTCTTCTCGAATTAGTCTCACTCAACGACCAGCTGATCATAGAGTTAATATCCCGGAGATCTATATTCCCGATCTAATTAATTTAAACCCCAACTCAATTGCAAATGTCAAAAAGGTTCTACTTCACATAGAAAAAATATCGGGTATTAAAGATGGAACGAGAAAATGGATAGCTGTAACCTGTGATGGAGTCCCATATCACCATACTACCAAAATAAATAAAAAATTCCCTTGGTTAATTCTTATCCCGGAACAATTACATGAGAAGATGAATATGCTTAAAGCATATGTAAAGCTGAATTGGTAATTCTGTTTTTTAATTAAAAAAATGATTCTTATTAATAAATTATATTTTTTTAATTGATAATTAGGGAAATCGATTTAAAGCAATTTGCGATTTGCCAAGGTTATCAGACGGATAATCAACTTTCTTTTTTTAAAAAATGTGTTGATCACCATAAGTCTTGGGATTCAATTTGCAATATATACCATCAAGCAATAGCCATGGAACTTATGTGGCCATATATAAAAACTCATTCTGATCCTTCAATTGAAGGATATATTGCCTGGGCTAAAGAGCAGCAAGATCTACTTTATCAAATAAAATATGAACAAACGTTTGTTTATCTTCAAGCAATTATTAACTATCAGAAGGCCATAAGAACCAATGATCCTCTCCTAAAAAAAGCTGCTAAAAGAATATTTTCTCCAATTTGGTTCGCAAGGCGTCATCCTATTTATCGCCTAATAGAAATTGCCGATGAAATTCAATTGATACAGCTATATCCAGAAATACGTGAGGTTATAGAAAAATATTGTGTTGTATCTAGATCAGGCATTTATAAGTAACATCAAGGATTAGATGCAATTTTGAAAGAAGTGAACAAAATGCTAAAGACTTTAATACCTCCTGTTCTACAGTATCACCATTGGAAGATTGCAGCTCGTAATTGTAAAAAATTCTTTGAAGTAAGTTATTTAATTTATATTTTTTTACTGTTTATGTTTATTTTTACAATTTATAATTTACAAATTATATATATACTTTTAGCTTCGAAGTAATTTATTTAAATCAATTGGATACAATAATCTTCCATCACCAGGATCAAGAACTCGGCCAGAATCAACTATAGAATGTCAACGATTTTGAATTCATATGAGAAGTCACGAATTTGTTGATCCAGCAAATACAAGAACTTCATGTCAAAGCCTAGGAAATGATGAATTGAGCGATCAATTAAAAAATTTTACTTATTTGACAAAACAAGTCCGAAAAAATTATATTGTTGAAATATTTATTAACCAAAACTCATCTTCTTTCTTTAGGAAAATTCCGATTACAAAGCAAGAAGCGGATATGCAAGACATTAAAGAAAACATGACCAAGGTAGAAATCTCATTAAAAATAGAAACCCTCCTTGAACAACTATCTGAAACTGCTCGGAAAAAATATTCTGGATTTAGATTAAAAAAGCGAGATGAATTATTAAGTATTTTACAGGAAATAAAGTATTTATTTAACTCAAATAACGAATTTGATAATCAAGATTCATTAGAAAATTCATAAAAAAATTTGTAAAAATAAATGTATCATGTTTATTTTATTAAATAAAGTATATTTTTTAAATATAAAAAAAAAATACAAATAAAATATTTATATTTATTTTACTTTTGTATATTGCTATATTATTTAATTTACTAACTTTTTGTATGTAAATTTAAATATATTAATATCGTGTGGTCAGTATATTAAAGTGAATTCAAGCAAAGTAACTCGTGTTTAAAATTTTTTTTATATTAAATTTTTTTTATGTTGTATGTTACAAGTTATATTATTTAATTCCAGTCTATTTTGTTTTACTATAAAAAGTTTCTATTAAACAATTACTAACTTTTTACATGTAAATTTAAATATATTTATCGTGTGGTCAGTATATTTCTGTATTTAAAGTGAATTCAAGCTCACGTTTAAAATTTTTTTTATATTAAATGTTTGTGAAACATTAAAGATCTAGAAAAATCTGATCAGCGTTTCTTACTTAATAAGGTGTGATTGTCAGTAATCTGAATTTGGTATATTCACTGACTGTAATAATAAAGAAAGAAAAAGCCTGCACCATTTCGCAATCACCCTAAGCTTTATTTTTTTAAAAAAAAAATCTATAGATCTATAATTTTGAGGTTTCACAACTATTTTGTCTCCCGTCGAAATACTAATTTCGACCGGAGTTACACTAAATTTCGTCTCCCGTAATAATTTTGACCTCCGTAAATATTTTCGTCTTTTATAATAATTTCGGGATCAATTTTAAATTTCGGAATTCAATTTCGGGGTCATTTTAAATTAATCGGGGTTGGGTTTTGGATTTTTAATTTTGGGGGCATGTATAATCTGGACCATTTTCACAGAGATAATTTTTTTTTCTCAATATTAAGAGCAGAGATAATTTCATTTTTCACAAATTTTATAAATTCCCAAGTGATTATTTTAAACTTGTTCATATGTAAATATTGAGTAATTTTTAATTCAAAATCTTTATAAGATAAAAGAAAATTAATTTTTATGTAGTAATTATGAAATGATATAAAAAGCTTACCTTTACGTAACTATTGATTAGCTTATGAACAAATAACCTGTGTATGCCATAAACCTTTGTCAATACTACAAGTAAGAAGCTCACTAACTTCCAGTTTAAAATATTTCTAATCTTTGACCAGATGAAGAAATTAACTAACTGTACAAAGTCATATATTCAAAGAAATTTTTTTCTTTAATAAAGTATCAAGTAATTCTAACGTAAACTTATTATTATCCTTACCATCACTGAAATTAATTACTTTGTTATATGGAAGTTTGTCTCATGTAAATTTAATAGAATTATCATCATTGTTAAAATTAATTTTCTCACTATATGGAAACTTGTTTTGTAGAAATTCGTTAGAATCATTATCAATTTTCATAAATCAGTTAGCAATTTTATTAGATCTTGAAGCTGTCTTCACTAGTCGAAAATTGATAAAACATACACATATTGGGTACTCAATATGTGCATGGTGTGTCCCTAATATCGGGCATATATCGGGTACCCGATAAGTGTAGAAAATATTTTTTTACACTTATCAGGTACCCAATATATATATAAAATATTTTCTACACTTATCGGGTACCCAATATATGTCCGATATTAGGGACACACCATGCACATATCGGGTACCTGATATGTGTATATTTTATTAATTTTCGATTAGTACTTTCTCCAAGTTACTCTTTTATTTTGCAAGGTTAATGGCACAAAGCCTGTGTAGGTTGGTTTTTGTTTCTTTATTATCTATACTCCTAATTTTTTGGCATTTTCAATAAGTTTTCTAAATATTTCTAGTGTCAAACTTTACAACTCTTCTTTGAATTCATTACTATTCAAAGGTTTGTCTTTGTCATTCATCCACACAATATCATTATCATAATCAGACTCAATGTTTAATGTTTCAGGTCTTGATTTAGCACCATTCCAATGTTTCTTGATGACTATTTTATTTTGTTTTGCATGTTTTCTTGGTCTTGATATTGTTTTAGGAGTAAAAAATGAAAAAGGAAACTCTTGAACTTGCACAGGTATTTTGCAACAATTTTATTTACATTAGGACCAACACTTTCTCAACTCCTCTTCATAAGAAAAAAAAATAATTTTACATTTTTTTAGTCCAAACATAATTAGTCAGGTGACCTAATTCAACCAATAGAATCACTATAAATAATGTTACACATGCATATAAATTTCAGCGGTCATATGTCTTTAGGCTACGCACACCATATATAATTATCAATTAAATCAATAAAAATACTTAATTTATAAACTTATGTGTCTCTCCCAGAAGCGAGTTCGAAATTTCTCAAAATATCGTTCACCGACTTTGCTTCATCGTTCAGATTTATTTCCAGTCATATATTGACACATTAACTAGTATGAATTATGTAACAGTTTCGTTGTCACATCCTCTACATAGTTATATTTACTTTATTTCATTTTCTATTTTATTATACTTATCTTATTTTATTTTCTATTTTATTATTTATATTT